TGGGGAACGAGTGATACCGGCGGAACCTGGGCCAACGCAAGCGGGGGATGGGGCGCCGCAACCGGCGCCGACAATAGCGGCTGGGGGACTTTGCGCGAAGAACAAAAGGGGGGAGAGGATGAAGCAGAGGAAACTGGGGCAACACCTGCAGTTGTTCCTCTTTGTCGTCCCCCGCGCCACACTCCACTCGCATTACCTCCTCCTGACAACCCGCCGCGCCGCGATCCATGGGACACCATCGACTGGGGCAACGAGCCGTGAACCCCACATCGCACTGCCTACGGACCCGCTCCCGAACCGCGCGAACCCACTTTTGTTTCTGGAACCATCCCTGCGACCAACATTCCCCTCTCTGAGATCCGCGACAGAGAATTTTTGGCGCTAGTGCTGACTACCGCCAACCACGAAGACGAAGCAGCAGAAGAAGCACCAGCAGCACATGCCCTCGTACCTGATGAGGATCCCGAAGAAGCCCGCGCACACTACATGCGTACTTCCGGCTTTCGCGCTGACGATGCGCTCTGGCATCAGCGTCTCGGACATCCTTCGCGTGCGACACTGAAGAATTGCATCGACGCAGGAGTCTTCGCTCCTGGGGCGCTGCTACGCCCAGACGGCACTGAAGTAAGGGGCACAACACATCCGCGCAACTGCACTGTCTGCCCCGAAGCTGCACTGAGCCACCAACCGTTCCCGTTGCTCGAGCCAGGGACGAACCGCTACCCCAAGCTGTACAAGGTGTACAGCGATTTCCTAAACGTGGGGCACTGCGGAGTCGACGACGAAATGTATACGCTAACCTTCATCGACGCCGGCACTCGCTATGTGTGGATCCTGAACGTTGAAACACGCGACAGAGGCTATGAGGTGTTCCGCCTCTGGCTTGCGCACGCGCAGCGACAATCTGGGGAGAAGCTGAAAATCTGGCAATCCGACGGCGCAAAGGAATTCAGGAGCAATCAAATGTAGACTTACATTGCGCAAAAGGGGATTGAACACCATATCTCTCTCCCTTACGCACACCAACAGCAGGGCGTAGCTGAGCGGACGAACCGCACGCTGATGACGAAGGTGCGGGCGCTGATGAAGCAGTCGAAACTACCGCCGATCTAGTGGACCTACGCGATGCACCACGCCGTGCGGGTGCACAACTTACCGTCAACCACCGCCATCACCGGCAACCTGTCCCCACACGTAAAGTGGACCGGGACCAAGGGAGACACGTCCATGCTCCGCGTGTGGGGGTGCATGGTCCAATACCGCCCGCCAACATCAACCATCGGCAAATTCGCCGGCCGCGCACGTTGGGGCATTCACCTCGGCATCAGCCACGAGCACAAGGCGTGGATCGTGCTGGACCTACTCAGTCAGTAGACCACCCACGCTCGTGACGTGATTTTCTACGAACGCCTCTTCCTCGACCAGTTCCGCCACGACGAGCAGACGAATGCAAACCATGTTTACGCAAACGACGGACACAGCTATGCAACGCCCGAGGACGAAGCTGCAGCAGCAATCCTGGAGCAGGACACCAGGGGCAAGTTCACACGGGGAGATTGCAGCAGCGACGACAACGATGTCGATGATTCCCCTGGAGGAGGAACAGGCGGAAGCGGCAGTGGCACAGCACCACCTGCACCACCTGAACCAGAGAGCGATAACGACGATGTGCAAGAAGTCATCCAGCAACGTCGCCACAACAACACCGTTTCAGGATTGCAGCTGCTCGGGCTTCACACCGCAACCTCGAAGGCGCCACGTGTCATCGAGCCGCGAAACCCGCGCCAAGCTCTCACTGGACCACACAGCAAAGAATGGCGTGAGGCGATGGACGCGGAAATCAAGGCGCTCGAATCCCGAGACACCTGGGTGTTAGTCGACCGTGCGGCAATCAAGGGTGCAATAGTTCTTTCGGGCAAATAGGTCTTCCGCGTGAAGACCGTAGCGGACGGAACGATTGAGCACTTCAAGGCGCGTTGGGTGGTACGCGGATACGACCAGAGGCACGGCATCGACTTCGACCAGACGTTCGCCCCAGTCAGCCGCCACAGCTCCGTCCAAATCCTGCTTGCCATCGCAGCCGCAAGGCATCTACCTCTTTGCCAGATTGACGTCAAGAATGCGTTCCTGTATGCATTAGTAGATGCTGTGATTTATGTGGAGCAGCCGCACACATACGGCGAAGGGGATTCGCGCGTATGCCAGCTGCGCGAATCCCTGTACGGGAGAAAACAGGCACCAAGGCTTTGGCAGCAGTATCTGCACAACATCCTGCTTGAAATCGGGTTCAAGCAGATGCCGCACGATCGAGGAATGTACCGCCGTTATTTCCACGGCAAATACATTCTCCTCACAGTCTACGTCGACGACCTGCTTTACACGGGATCAAGCAATGAGTTACTCGAGCAATTCGAGAAAAGCCTGGCGAGGCGCGTCGACATCACGTCTAACCACGAGGTGAAGCAATTCTTAGGCCTCAACATCTCCTACGCACCTGAGGCCATTCACCTCTCAGCGGCTAAGTACGCAGAGGAGTTAGGGAAGCGGTTCAACATCTCGCCTGCACCGCTCTCAACTCCCTATCGAACTCTGGGACCGAACCACAAACCTGGCAACAAAGTCATATCCCCTGTTGGAGTTCAGACTTACCAGCAGCAGCTGGGATGCCTGCTTTTTGCCTCTGTCACATGCAGGCCTGACCTTTCCTACATCGCAAGTCAGCTGGCCCAGTAGTCACGCAAACCAACGGCTGAGAATCTTCTGGACCTACAGCGCGCCCTACAGTTCTTCGTTTCAATGCCCAAGATTGGGCTGTGCTACTCAACTGCACCAACCCCATCTTTCAACATGATCGGCTACGTGGACGCCGATCACGCAGCAGATCCCGACAATCGACGGTCCAGGACTCGCTTCCTATTCCGACTCGAACCGGTGGGACCAATCTCCTGGAACTCGCAGAAGCAGGAGCTGGTTGCCTTGTCGTCAGCCGAAGCGGAATTCATCGCAGTAACCGCAGCAGTTCGCGAAGGCCTCTACCCACAGGAACTTCTGCAGGAAGCGAAAATCCCAGCTTCGCCCACCTTTCGTCTTCACTGCGACAACCAGAGCGCGATTCGCATTGCGAATAAACCTGGTCTCGTAAACCGTACCAAACACATTGCGCTGCGGTATTTCTTCGTGAAGGACGAAGTGGACAAGGGAAAGGTTGACTTGACCTATTGCCCGACCGGTGATATGGCAGCATATTTTCTCACGAAGCGAATGCCACGCCAGCTTTACCAACACTGCTCCGAACTCAGCGGCGTGGTCAAGCAGGTCAAGTCGAGCTACGGTCATGAGTGAAGGGGGGTGTTACGAATAGCTATGAATGAAGATTACAATGCACTCCTGACCGTAGCTAAAGAAGCATGCAGTATCGAGAACGAATATGAAGAGTCAGAGTCGACTCGAAACGCCAGACGGTTGATGTGAAAGTTTAGAAGAGAGAAGAGGAGGGTTGCACTAGCAAGAATGGGGATACAAATAGCAAACCCTAGAAGGGTTGTACTCGCTATAGAGCACCCCACTACAGGCTAGAGCATAAGATAACATTCTGACACACCCCCATAGCCAAAGTGGGGTGTAATCAACAGAGCAAGCAAAGCAGTACAAGCTCAGGGTGGATCACAATATCACCACACATTCTGAGCACAAGTTCAAGAAGCAATAGTTTAAGGTTCACAATTATGAGCAAAGCTAGTGGTAGTCACAACGGGCAAGTGAGGAGGAGGAGAGAGAGTGAGGGGAGAGGAGATAGGAGGCGACGGCTGAAGCTGCAGACACACGGGCAACAGGAGGCACACTGGCTCAGCGGCTACCGGAACAACGCCTCGGAATACTGGAGTAACTGGCCCCGCGGCTCAAGTAGCGGCAGACGAGCAACGGATCCACGGGCGGCTGGCACAGCTGGCTACGACTGGGCTACCGGAGCAACTCCCCGGAATACAGGTGCTGCTGGCGACACGACGGCAACCTCCATACAGCTTCCCACACTATCCCACTCCACCTCGCACGCACCCACTGCTACACCGCTAGCTCCACTCCCACGCACCCCCCTTAAACCCTAAACCCTAGTCTCCCACACATCCACCCCTCTCAGCGACAGCTGCAGCAGTGGGAGACGAAGGAGGAGGAGGAGCAAAGGGAGGAATACATAAGTGCCACCCCCATACTCGCCACCCCCTACTCGCCACCCCCCAAACCCTAACACTGGCAGGGCGGGATGGCGGGTAGGGAGGTTACTGGGGAGGGGGGGGGGGGGGGGGGGGGGGGGAAGGGGGAACCGACGCGCGGCCTCCTAGGGCGCCAAAACAGGCAGCAGAAGGGGCGGCGCTCGCCCCCCTCCCCCAGGTAGGCCGCGGCCCCCGAGGGAGCCGCGACGGGCGACGCGAAAAGGGGGCCGCAGGCGGGGCCGGGGCCGGGGCGCAGGTAGGGCGACGGGGCCGGGGCGCAGGTAGGGCGTCGGGGCCGGGGCGCAGGTAGGGCGTCGGGGCCGGGGCGCAGGTAGGGCGACGGGGCCGGGGCCGGGCCGTAGGTAGGGCGACGGGGCCGGGTCGACGGTAGGGCGACGGGGTCGGTGCACGTGCCCTCGGTGCGCCGCGATGGGCCCCCCCCTGCCGCTCATCCCTGGCGACGTGCTCTCGTCCGAGATGACGACGTTGTTTCTTGGAATGCCGCGGCGGCCTCTACAAACAGCCGCAACGCGCCTCGCGGAATTCATGCCAAGGCTGCGCCATTCACGCAGAGGGTGTCAGAGCCTCTCGTGTACTCTTCCAGAGGCGCTGCTGGATCCCACGCGACTCCCAGCTGGAATCAGCGCGCTGCTGCCAGTCGCGTGGCAACCGCCGACCCTCACGCCGCCCGTCACGCCGTCCAATACGCCCCAACTCCTGACGCATCTCGCGCTGCACGTAACGCCGTGAATCACGGCTCTCACAGGTTTGGAAACATCGACCTTCATGATGCAGCAGCGAATCAGCGTCGAGGCGGTGGTTCTCGCCATGGCGGTGGCGGAAACAGCGGAGCATTCACCGTCAACCGCGCTTTTCGCGCAGCCAGCCCCGAAGACGTGGCGATCCATCACCGTTCCAGCGACGAGCGCCACACGCGCAATTCCGCGCAGGGTGCTAATCGCCTCGACAGCTATCACCATCATGGGATGATGGGGATGGCATCTGCACACACTAACGCAGCGGGTGATTATGGTGGGGATTACAACGGCGGTGACTACAATGGTGGTGACAGCGGCAGTGATTACAATGGTGGTGAAAACGGAGGTGATTACAATGGTGGTGACAACGGTGGTGATTACAACGGTGGTGGTGACAACGGCGGTGATTACAACGGTGGTGGTGACAACGGCGGTGATTACAACGGTGGTGGTGACAACGGCGATGATTACAACGGTGGTGGTGACAACGGCGGTGATTACAACGGTGGTGGTGATAGCGGCGGTGATTACAACGGTGGTGGTGACAACGGCGGTGATTACAACGGTGGTGGTGACAACGGCGGTGATTACAACGGTGGTGGTGACAACGGCGGTGATTACAACGCTGTTGGTGACAACGGCGGTGATTACAACGCTGGTGGTGACAACGGCAGTGACTCTAATGGAGATGGCTGCCCTGATGGAGGTGACGGCGGTGGGGATGGCGGGAACGCTGCTGGGGATGGCGGGAATGGCTCTGGCGACGGCAGAAATGGCGGTGGTGACGGCGGGAACAGCGGTGGTGACGGCGGGAACGGCGGTGGTGACGGCGGGAACGGCGGGGGTGATGGCGGAAACGGCACTGGGGACGGCGGCAACGGCACTGGGGACGGCGGCAACGGCGGTGGAGACGGCGGCAACAACAGTGGAGACGGCGGCAACAGCGGTGGAGACGGCGGCAACAACGGTGGAGACGGCGGCAACGGCGGTGGGGACGGCGGCAACGGCGGTGGGGACGGCGGCAACGGCGGTGGGGACGGCGGCAACGGCGGTGGGGACGGCGGCAACGGCGGTGGGGACGGCGGCAACGGCGGTGGGGACGGCGGCAACGGCGGTGGGGACGGCGGCAACGGCGGTGGGGACGGCGGGAACGGCGCTGGGGACGGTGGAAATGGCGGGGGGGGTGGTGGAAATGGCGGCAGCATCGACATTGAAGGGATTCTGGAGGAGCACAATAAGGCACGGCAGGAAGTGGGTGTGCCGGATCTGGCATGGGACGACGGAGTGGCAGCAACGTCACAGGAGTGGGCGAACGAGCTGGCGTCCAAAGGGTGCCCTCTGGAGCACGGCGGAGCAGAGGGGCTCGGGCAGAACCTCTACTGGCTGTCACCCGCGAGGCTGACCCCGGAGGAGGACCGTGGGGCAGTGCAGTCATGGGTGGAGGAGAAGGCGGACTGGACCCCCAGCCCCATTCCCGACAGGTGTGCGGACGGCAAGATGTGTGGGCACTACACGCAGGTGGTGTGGCACGACACCACTCATGTCGGCTGCGCCTCTGCTCAATGCCCCGATGGCTCCGGCATGTGGGTCTACGACTACTCTCCCCCGGGCAACTTCGTTGGCTTTCTAGACTGCATGCCAGTGAAATCTGCCAAGGAGTGGGTGTGTGGTAAGTCAGGACAGGACAGTTCCAGACAGTAAGTATGCTGCAGATTTTTTGGGGAAAGGGGGCTGTCTCTAGAAGTGTGGGGTGTGGCAGGTGTATGTGTGGGGGAAACCGTAACCGTAACGAGCGGCTTCTGTTTTTTAAGGTTTGACTGAGAACAAATGTGTCTGCATATGTGCTTTTGAAACATGTACTGTACCCATACTTTTTTCAGAATGCGTACTATGTGCAGTGTGCCCTACTGTCTTCAGATATGTTGTGTATGTGTGTTGCTTAGTGATATATTGGCAGTATGTGAGATTTCACAATGTACATGACTCAGGAGGTCCAAATAAATGTGAAGGGAAAGGTTCAAAGAATCTGAACTTGATTTCATATCTAATCATGATCCAGACTATACAATTTTCGGCCCCATCGCCGCCCTACTGGCCCCGTCGCCGCCCTAAGCGGCCCCGTCTCCGCCCTAAGCGGCCCCGTCGCCGACCCTAACTGGCCCCGTCGCCGCCCTACCGGCCCCGTCGCCGACCCCAGCGGCCCGGTCGCCGCTCGCAACGGCCCCGTCGCCGCCCCTTCACGGCCCCGTTGCCGTCTCTACCAGCCCCTTCAACGCCGCCAACAGCCCAGCAGCCGAGGCGCCCGATAGCCGAGCCGCCGAGCCGCCCAGCAGCCAAGCCGCCGAGCCGCCCAGCAGCCGAGCCGCCGAGCCGCCGCGCTGCACAGCAGCCGAGCCGCCGAGCAGCCCAGGAGCCGAGCCGCCGAGCCGCCCTTCCTTCCGGCGCGTCACGGCCCTACTTCCTTGGACTGGTGAGCTCACTCCCTGCTAGACCAGTGCAGTCATGGCTACCCCCAGTGTCCGTACCTTTGATACTGAGGGTCGTGCTGTTGACTTTGAGGTCTGGGTCGATGACCTCTAGCTGTTCTTACAGTGCGATAGGGCGGACGGACTCTCACTGTTCGATCTCACCTCTGGTGTCTCTCCTGCCCCGCCTGCTACTGGTGACAGCACTGTTCGCTCACACTGGGCCACGCGCGATGCTCCTGCACGTCTTGCTGTGGGTCGCCACTTACCGACCATTGAGCGTGCGCACTTTAGCCAGTACAAGAGTGCTAAGACCTTGTACGACGCTGTAGTTGCACGCTACTCTTCCCCTGCCACTGCTGCCCTTAGCCGCCTCATGCTACCGTACCTGTTCCTTGACCTTGCTGCCTTTCCCACACTCGCTGACCTCATTACGCACCTTCGCACTAGTGACACTCGCTACCGCGCTGCGCTTCCCGCTGAGTTCTGTGCCAAGAACCCCCCCCCCCCCCCCCCATGTACATCACCCTCTACTACATAGTCACCCGGCTCCCTGACTCCCTTCGCTTAGTCAGGGACCACTTCCTCTCAGTTTGCCCCACCACACTCACCGTTGACCTCCTCGAGGAGCGCCTCCTATCAGCAGAGAAGAGCATAGTCGCTGTAGGAGCCTCTCGTGGTAACCCTCGCACCCCCGTCTTTGAGGGGTGTTCTCCCTCCCCCCTCTTGCCCTCTGTTGCTTCTGCTGTTGCGGCTGACCTCGTTGGCTTCGAGTCGGTCGGTGCTGCGTCTGTCCCTAGCGGGAAGCGCCGCATCGGCAAGGGCAAGGGGGGCAAGGGCGCTGGGGGGCCTAGTGGGGGCGGTGGAGGTGGTGGTGGAGGCAGTGGAGGGGGTGGGGGTGGTGGTGGGAGTGGTGGCGGGGCCGGAGGTTTCGGTGGCAGCAGTGGAGGCGGAGGAGGCGGCGGTGGTGGCGGAGGGAGCGGAGGAGGCGGTGGTGGCGGAGGCGGCGGAGGTGGCGATGGAGCTGGTCGCGGCTCTGCGCAGAGGAGTGGCTCTGGTGGTGGTCCGCGCCAGCAGCAGCAGCGCGGTCGTGAGACCCTGTCCCCTCAGCAGCTTCGTGAGTGGTACGCTGGGCGTCAGCGAGGTGGGGGTACTGGTCCCTGCACCTACGTCCTCCGTACAGGCGACCGCGCTGGTGAGCAGTGCGGGTGCACGCACTCCACCCAGCGCTGCTTCGGCCGCCTGACGGACGCTTGGCGTCATCAGATCCCTGACGTCACTGAGATCCCTCGCTGGGGAGAGCTGTCTAGGGCGGGGGTAGCTATCTTTGATCTTGACTTCGATGCTATTCTTGCTGCCATGTATGCTGTGTCTACTAGTGATGAGGGTGACTGGTACCTGTGTGTTCCGCCTGACCCGGGCATTGAGGCTGCTGCTCTAGGTGCTGGTGAGGCTACTGCTCCAGGTGCTAGTGCGTCTGCTGCCCCAGGTGCTGGTGAGTCTGCTCTGTCAGGTACCACGTTGGCTGAGGCCTTGCACACCTTCACCCTTGACTCGGGTGCTTCCCGCTCCTTCTTTCGAGACCGCACCACGCTTACGCCGCATAGTCGGCCGGTTGCGGTCTCCCTGGCGGACCCCTCTGGGGGTCCTGTCCTTGCTAGCTTCTCCACTTTCTTACCGTGTCCGGCAGCCCCCTCTGGCACCCTGTCAGGTCTCTACCTCCCCTCGTTCTCTATGAACTTGGTGAGTGGAGCTGATCTACAGGATTGGGGGGTTGACCAGTTCACACCTGCGAGTCAACGGGTGACCCACTGTACGTGTGCTGGGACGGGCCGACACTTGGCCACGTTTACTCGACAGCCGGGGTCGAGCCTGTACACAATGACCACCGAGTCTCCTCTTGTTACTGAGTCTAGTCAGGTAGCTGCGTCGAGTCAGGTGTTTGCAACAGCGTCTAGGTCTGGTCCTGAGTCTGCGCCCTGCTCGTGTCGTCTCCTGTCCCACCAGACTCTCCTTTGGCACCACCGCCTTGGTCACCCCTCCCTGCCTCGTCTCCGAGGCATGGCCTCCCGTGTCCTTGTTTCTGGACTCCCCCGGTCCCTCCCTCCCCTACCTCTGGGGCCGGCCCCTACCTGCGTCCCCTGCGTCGAGGCGCGCCGCTCCTCACTCCTCCGAGTTTCCTACGATAGAGGCTCCCCTGCAGACTCTTCACATGGACGTGTGAGGTCCCGCCCGCGTCCGTGGCTAGGGTCACGGGCGTTACTTCCTGTTGGTGGTTGACGACTTCTCGCGTTACACCAAGGTGTTCCCCTTGCGTAGCAAGGGTGACGTCATTGAGGTGTTGATCGACTGGATCCGCGCAGCTCGTCTCCGGCTCAGAGAGAGTTTCGGCTCGGACTTTCCTGTTCTGCGTCTACACTGTGACAGAGGCGGAGAGTTTTCCTCTGCCCATTTAGGAGCCTTCTGTCGTGCACAGGGTATCCGCCAGACCTTCATGCTTCCGGCCTCTCAACAGCAAAATGGGATTGCTGAGCGCCGCATTGGCATGGTCATGGACGTCGCTCGTACGTCCATGATCCATGCGGCTGCTCCCCATTTTCTGTGGCCGTTTGCGGTTCAGTACGCGGCGCATCAGCTCAACCTTCAACCCCGGGTCTCCTTGCCAGAGACCTCCCCCACGTTGCGGTGGACGGGGAAGGTTGGCGATGCGTCTGCGTTTCGTGTCTGAGGATCTCGGGCTTTTGTCCGCGACTTGTCTGCGGACAAGCTGTCCCCTCGTGCTGTTCCCTGCGTCTTCCTTGGCTTCCCCCCTAACGCGCCTGGTTGGTAGTTCTACCACCCCACCTCGCACCGTGTTCTGTCCTCTCAAGACGTCACATTTGACGAGTCGGTGCCTTACTACCGTCTCTTCCCCTTCCGCACTGCGCCCCTCCCCCCGCCGCCGCTCTTCCTTGTGCCAGGTCCTCCCCCGGTAGACCCCCTCCCCCCTCAGGGTCCTGCCCCGTCAGGTGTGTCCCATGTAGACGCAGTTGAGCCTGTCAAGGTAGCTGTTGACTCTGGTGCTGCTAGGGGCGCTGTGCCTGCGGGTGCCGGGTCTAGGGGTGCGGAGCCTGGGGGTGATGAGTCTCAGGGTGCTGAGGCTGGGGGTGCTGAGTCTCGGGGTGCTGAGCCTCGGGGTGCGGAGCCTGGGGGTGCTGAGCCTGGGGGTGCGGAGCCTGGGGGTGCTGAGCCTGGGGTGCGGAGCCTGGGGGTGCTGAGCCTGGGGGTGCGGAGCCTGGGGGTGCTGGGTCTACTCGTGTGGCCTCTGGCGGTTCTTCGTCGAGGCGGGAGCTACTCTCTCCGCAGGAGCTACGCGAGTGGTTTGCCCGGCGCTAGAGCCGTGCTGCTGGAGCTGGAGGTACTACTGTTGCTGCTGGTCCTGGAGGTTCTCGTCCTGGCGGTTCTGGAGCTGCTGGGATTGGGAGTCCTGCTGGAGGTGCTACTGGAGCTGCTGGAGCTGGAGCTACTAGGGGTGTTGGCGCTGGTGGTTCTGCTGGCGCTGGTGCTTTTGAGGGTGCTGGAGTTGGCGCAGTTGGAGCTGGAGGTGTTGCTGGCGCTGTTGCTGCCGCTGGGGGTACTGGTGCTGTCCCTACCGGTTCTAGAGGCGCTGCGTGGCCGAGGCCGTACTTCGTTCCGCTCCTTGAGCAGGTTCTTGGTCTTCCGCCCTCTACTGGTCCTGCTCTTCCCTTAGCGTGCCCACAGCCTGTCCAGTCGCGGTCACAGTTACAGCCTGCCTCCCCCCTGCCTGCTCCTTCTACCTACACTGGTCCTACTTGAGGTCTTGCTGAGCGTCGTGAGCCTTCGTCTTGTCCTGCGTCGCCTGTTCGTGCTGCTCGCACTAGTGGTCGTGCTCTGCGTCCGCGTCCTCCTGCGGTCCCCGACACACACCAGATGGCACTGCGTCCTTCCACTGCTCCTCTGCGTGTCCCGTTGCCGTCTCCTCCAGAGTCCTCTCTTCCTACTCTTGCTGACCTTGAGTCAGACTCTCTTCGTGCTGCCAGTCCTACTGTCACGTGTCTCCTGGCTACTATTGTCACTGACCCTTCTTTTGAGTCCACTGCTGCGTCTGCCCTAGTTGCTGAGCTTGTCGACTTTGCTGCTCGTTGTCGTCTAGACTACGCTGCTAGTCTTGTTGCTGAGTCTGCGTTTGTCTGTCCTCCGTCCGTCGGGGGTGAGTGTGCTCTTAGCACAGACGTC